GTGTCCAGGAGGACAACTCCCATCTTGGGCAGAAGTTGCCCTGGAGGAGCTGATGCTGGAAGCCACTGTGGTCCTCTTGTTGGGGGAAGAGGGGGTTTGAGATGACCAGCCAGCTCTGGGCAAGTGGCGGAGTGCTGGGATGGGAGGAGTCACAGTGAAACCCCAAGACATGTCTCCTGCAAGTCTCCAGTGTTCTAGATTCTGGTTGTCCTGTGCAGCAGCCACACTAGCCTCAGGTGCTATTGAGCGCTTGACATGTGGCTAGTGCAACCCAGGAACTGATTTTCAGTTAAGTTTAATTTTATTTCATTGAAATACACAATTCAGTTATTGAAAAATTTTAAATTATATTTGGAACAATTTGAGGATGTGAATTTATTTTTTCAACTATAAATTTAATGAAATCTAAATATAGATCAAGTATTTTGGATAAAAATTTAATATCTGAATTGGGCTGTGTCAAATTCTCACAGGATTTCAAAGATGCAAAATGTCTCATCAAAACTTTTTTATATTTGCAGTTGAAATGATACTATTTCAGACATACTGGGCTAAACAAAAGATCTTGTTAAAATTAATTTCTCTTGTTTCTTTTTATCTGTTTCTTTTCTTTTGGTGAGGAAGATTCACCCTGAGCTAACATCTGTGGCCAATCTTCCTCTTTTTTTGCTTGAGGAAAATTAGCCCTGAGCTAATCATCTGTGCCAGTCTTCCTCTATTTTGTATGTGGGTTGCTGCCACAGCATGGCTTGACAAGTCCACGTCTGGGATCTGAACCTGAACCTGCAAACCTGGGCTGCTGAAGTGGAATGCACCGGCCTTAACCACTCCACCACCGGGCCAGCCTTCTTTTTATCTTTTTCTAATGTAGCTACTAGAAAATCTAAAGCTACATTATGTTCCTGGCATTATAGTTCTCTTCAACAAGGCTGGTCTAGACCCACCCCGAGGTCTTTTTCCCTCTGACTTCCTATTCAGGCCTGGCTCTTTGGCCTGCTTCACAGTCTTGCCTGCTCTTTGGTGCTGGCACATGCTGGGCCAGACCAGACGGGAGGCAGAGGCTGAAGGTGAGACCCACTTCTGTAGAACAAGGGGCTGGGCGTGGTTGCCCTGGCAGCCCCGAGTTCTGGAGTACGCAGTATACCTGGGGCAGTAGGTGGTCAGGGTGAGGGTAGTCTGGAGTTGAGGTAATGATCTGAGGCAACACGCTGCTCTGAGAAGACCTCAGCGAGGGAGAGAAGAAACACGGGGGACAAGACAGAGACCCAGTTTCTGCAGCCAGGATTCAAAATGAGGGCTGGGTCACAAGGACTAAACTAAGCACCTAATTACTCCAAATAAATGCAGAGCAGGAGAGCAACAAGCTGGACTTAAGACTTAAAATCTGAACTCCTACTGAGGGTCTCTGAATTTCACTGGTCAAGGAATAGAGGTGGGGGTCTGCATTTGCAGCAGGAGCCCCGGCTAAGGCGGGGAAGCCCCCGGAGGCAGCCAGACAGGGCTCTCGCCCTTGCCAAAGCCCTTGCCCCACAGTGGCCCCAGTGCCCAGCCCGGCTTTGGGCCTGAGCTATCCCACACCCCTGGAGTCAGACTCTGGGATCCCTGAACCACGGCATGGCCCAGTGGGGTACACTCTGCCTCTGCTCCCAATTAGGCAGCCCCACGTGTATTGCAACCAGAGGGCTCTGGCTCAGGGGCCAAGGGCATGTGAGGGATTCATGCAGGATGCTGGTCGTCCACCACGCCTTGTATCCTATTTCCCCTTGAACTCCAAGATTACACAAGCGGCAGGCTGCCCAGGCCAAATTCCATGTCTTGTCTCAATCCTTGATCCACTAACACACAAAACCAGGTCAAAAGGGGGTTATGCAGCCCTTGGGTACAAAACAACTGGCTTCCCCCACTGTGCTGGCCGTGTTTGCCAGCCAAACAGAGCAAAGGGCAGGCTTCCCCACCACAGGGAACCAGCCCTGCAGTGAGGTCCTGCTACACTTTGAAGGACAAATTGCTTTCAGGTTAACGTGGCTGCCATCGACCTTCCCCGGTGAGGCTGGGTCCCAGGTTTGCTTCCCTGGGGTAACAGGGGCTTGTTTAGATCACAGATTTGGGGATCTCAGCCCTTGGCCCCTTTGCAGGTTTGTCTTGGTTCTGGTTTGACAACAAAAGGACTCCCTTGTGTGCTAACTCTTGGAGACAAATACTCTGAGAGGAGAGAAATTGTGACATAAATATTATACAGGGCTCTCAGAGACTCAGATAAGGCCATTTTATCTTGTTAAACAGACATATGTGGGCACACAAACACACACACCCTACTAAATACGAAGCTAAATGCTATCCTTAAAAAACTCTTTTTAAATATTTACTTTCCAGCTACATGTTTTCCAATCCCAGCCAGTAGGATTGTGGAGATGTCACCCAGGGCAGGATGGGGGGACTTTCAGCCAGACTCTTCCAGAGGCTCAACACCATTTGTCCAGATGCCCTGTTCCCAAGGGCTCCTGCAAAGAGCACCCTATGAGAATAACGGAAAGAGCCATTCTGTTCTCCATTAGACAGCAGTGAGGTACTGTTTGGTTTTATTAGGTAAAAGGAATGATCAATTCAAGTCAGAAGCATCACAACTACCGCCATATTAGAAAGATTAGTACCCAAGAGCCCAGACTGTGACCTGACTGGAGGGCCCTCCCCCTCCCCAATGGCTCCTGTACCACTGACCTAATCCGGGGCCTCCGCCCTCAGCCAGGCCCACCCCAATCTTCGTGCCTTGTAAGAGTCTTTGGGGAGGAGACCCGCCACCAAGGTCGTCTCTTCCAGCACCTAACTCATCCATCTGCTACAATACAGCAACTAGACTGTTCCTAAAAGGATGCTGCTTATCTTAGCCACGTCTCAAGGAAGCCAAGATGGGCCTGGAAGGATCTCATGTCCCATGTTCATCAGCTGGAAGGCAGAACCCACATCGCAGTAAAGACAGACCTTCTCTCTTCCACTATTCACAGGAAATACTGAAGGTAATGAAAAAATAACAAGTAAACCACCCTTTACACCAGAGGCTTGCAAACGCAGATGCCCACTGGGACTGGAACCACGGCATATATGAGTGAAGTACAGTAGAGAGGTGGGTGGGTGGGTGGAAGAGGGGGTCAAGTGCGTTGGGGTGGAATTTAAGCAAAATGGAGACCATGGCTTATTCCATCCTCCACCCTGAAAACTAGCTTTTTTTCTGTGCAATCTCCCAAGTTTCAAACATTGGCCAGGAACTCCAACGTCTTTAAACACAGCAGAGGCTGCTGCCTCGTAACTTCTGCCTTAGACCATTTCCTAACTTAAAAAAGCTCCCTCCCCCCACGAAATAATAAAACTCAAACCAAATTACTACAAAGAAATTAATGGAGAAGTAGAAAAATATAGCAGCTTCAAAGACACCAGTCTCCCCATTTTAAAACAAAACCACCAGTAATTCATTGAGTTCATTCTTGTGCAGAAGGAGGTCAGCTGGGTCCTTCTATTGGTGAGACTGCCCTGCATTATTAAAATGACACCTGCTGCCAACCAACCCCAAACAAGATGCCATCCTACCTGTCCTCACACTAAGAGGGATTAGGTTCCCTATTACAGAGAAGAAATTGAGGCAGAGAGCAGGGGCGGCTCCTCCTTAACATTCTGGAGCCCCTCAGCCACAGGTTTCCCATTCCCCCTTAGAGCATCATCATAGAGAGAGCTGAAATAACGAATGAAGTTATGCAGCACCTTGCAGAGCACTGGGCAAATAGTAGGCACAACTGCATGTCCGCTGAGTGAATCATGCACGAATGAATGAATTTAGCTACTTCCCGTAGATGGTGCTTCCCATCAGGGAAAATCAGGAGCTGTCCTCACCATTCCAAAGACTGGATTTCTCCAGAGACAGGGGAGGAAGACAAGGGAGGTAATGCAGGGTTCCCTCTACAAGTGAACAGATGGCCTTCCTGGCTTTTAAGGGATCATCATAGACCCTGTCTGACTCACAGACAGAGAAAAAAGGATTCAGGAACCCGCCACCTCTGGACTGGGTCTGCTTTGACCTTGGATTAGGACCTGAGATTGAGAGAAGCTCCTATGCCCTTGTAACACCCCTAACTTTCCCTCTGTTTGGTGCTGTGGGCAGTTGCCAGCATCCTTATTTCCAAAGGACTTGGCACAGAAAATCACTGTCAACACAAGGAAGAAAGGGCCCTTTCTTCTCACGGGCGTACAAAGCTATTTCTTTCCTGGGTCTGCAGCATACAGACCTTCTTGGCTCTGACCCCACAGGCCTCCAGGGTGGCAGTGCATTCTTTATTCTGGCTTGCTCTGGGAGCTGAGGTCCCAGAAAGCCCAACCCTCTCTGCTCTGGGGTGTCTCTTCCTAGAATTTGACAGGGAGAAGAGAGTGGCTCATCCAGAGTTTTTCAAAGGTGCCAAGACTGGCAGTTTCAGTGGAACAACTCTGTGCTGTTGGAGATTGTCCTATACACTGTGAGATGCCACTAAATGCCAGGGGCGCCCCACAGTCACAGTGACCCCCCCCCCCCCCACGTTTCCAGTGCTGCCTGGAAGGGTAGCCTGGCCTCCGGTGGAGAGCCACTGGGCTGGTAGTGCCCTCATGAGTTTGAGAAACAAAAGCCCCAAAGGTTGAGTGACAGATCCAAGGCCACCACTCCCACATCTAACGACTTCTCATCCAGAGTTCTTTCCAGCTGCACTTGAAATGATGGATGCTCATGCAAACAACCACAAGATGCCATAGCACCACAGAGGCCCAAGTAGACAGCTGTCTGTTTCAACGGCATAGAGAAATTGAGGCACAGAGAGAAAAAATAACCTCGCTGTGACCAGAGAGTGAGCAAATGCGAGGCGGGGGACGGATTCCCAGAGGATCCGTTTTTCTGGGTCATATTTAGCTTAGTACATCCTCTGCCTAGCTGGTAACTGTCAGTGTGGCAGCCCCCTGGCAGGTGGGGCCTTTGTAGCTACCATCATCCCAAGGTCAACATAGAGGCATGGGGGTTCAGTGAGAAGGAGCCAGCCCCTAGTCTGTAGGTTAGAGCCAGGGCAGCCCAGGGGTCCAGCCTTCATCTTGAGTCTCCGGCAGGCTCAGCGGGAGTGTGGACAGCTCCATCACAGGCTCTTGAGCCCTTTTCAGGATCCTCACAGTCTCCGTTGGGAAATATGGCTGTCAGCGCCACCTCCTCCTCAGGGTCCTGGGAGCTATCTGGAACACAAGAGAAGGAATCACCCAATCAGAAAAAGTTTAGGAGTGAGTAAGCTAGCAACGAAAGGGAGGAAGTTGGCCCCGGTGACTACTTAAAAAACACAAGAAAATACGTATCAAAAACCTTAAAAACGTACATACCCTTTGACCCAGCAATTCCACTTCTAGGATTTTATCCTAAGGAAATAATTAGGAATAATTAGTGGAACTGCTGAAGCCATCTTGCTACCTGCATGAGGATGAAACAACACTGAAGATGATTCAGCAGAGAGTTGAAAAGAACCTGGGTCCTTGATGGGGTCACTGGACCCCTGAATCAAGCAGCCCTGCAGCTGACTCCACCTCGAGACTGTCCTTTAGGTGAGATAATGAATTCCCTTGCCGCTCATGCTACTTTGAGTCATGGTTTCTTCACCTGCAGCTCAAAGCATCCTAACCGATTCGATATCCAACAAAAGGATCGGCTGAGTAAACGGTGGCTCACCCGCATGAGGGGATTCAGGCATTAAAAATGATGTATAGGGCCGGCTCCGTGGCTTAGCGGTTAAGGGCGTGCGCTCTGATGCTGGCGGCCCGGGTTCGGATCCCGGGCGCGCCCCAAGGCACCACTTCTCCGTCCAACGC